AACCCTATTTGTTTCCCTCAGTTTAAGATATTTAATTAATGAATATTAGCAAGAAATTTTACGGTGAAAAGAACAAACAAAATGAGACATCAAAAAGAAAGAATTAACTCGAGAAAAGAATATAACACGGACGACAATATCTGAATAGTCCCTCTAATCAAATCTAGATTCAATGTTATTTCAGTGGTTATTGTCTCTGTTATGATAGTTGTTTATTTTATACCAACTTTTCTATTTACATTTTCTATGTGGTGAATGAATGGATGACCTAGAAAAAAGACAACTCTTATTGGTGAAATACAAACAATAACCAGGATAAAAATAATAAGTAACAAAATAAGGAGAAGTTTTACCTATATTTTTTCAACGCTATTCTCAGCACTGTGTATGTGAGTGTGTGTGTGTGTGTGTGCATGTGAGTACGAAATCGATAGGGAAAATTACTTTTGAAAAACAATATTCCATGAGATTATTACTTTTTAAAAACTTTTAAATGAGAACTTAAGAATAATCAATTAAAGTTAGGTATGTTAACAAGTGAAAATGACACCCTGGTATATAACATCAATCCATTATTAAATGCTCAAAATGCTGGATACTGCGCACTTATTGAACAGTGATAGATGTATGGACATTCTCTTCTTATGTTTACTACAAAGGTTGTTGAAACTACACAACTCAATATTCTCTATTAAAATAATTCGGTAAATATGCATTTCAAGGTTATATGTGAAAATTCATAAACCTATTATGAATAAAAGATAATAATGATCAATAGTTAGTACTTAAAAGATATATTTTGTCCTGTTTTAAATGTTGTTAGTTACTGTTTACACAAAGACTTGAAGCAGCTGTCCAAGAAGTCCTCATCTAGATGTGACCGAGCATTTTAGATATGAACATGGATAGAAAAAAGATAGAGACGCTCACTCGCGCCTAATTTCAAGAAAAAGTTCATGTAGTCCTGGTAACAAGTTATGACCAGGTTTGAAGCAGTTATCCATCAATGGCATTGAAGAAGGATGCATCATTGGATCTCAGCTCAATGGTTTAAAGGTTATGTGCTAATCACGAGATCTGACGCTCTTAAACTCGACTTGTCGTGCAGTGAAAGTGTTGAATGCTCACTGCTGAAGAGGCTCAAACAAAGATGAAGCGAATATAGTTTGTTTCCTGGTTTTCAATGGTTGTCTAACTGAGATAATCGATCCATTATATGAACTGTGATAATTTTGTTTCTATTGCAATGTTGTAAGAGACATGGAATAATATGTTTAAATTGTGAAATATTTTAAACATGACTAAACTAATCGATACCTTAATAAGATCAAGATTTTTCGCGGATTGTTTATCCTGACATTCGCTTTCATTGCTCGCTCACATCAACTGCAGTATTAATACTACTATCAAAACCAGGGAAGTACTGGATTGGTGGTTTATCCAAAATAAGAAATGTTCATCAATACTAATATATAAAGCTCACACTGGATAAAACATGAGATCTTCTGGTCTTGCAATCAGGATGATGTTATTAAACTAGTGATTAGAAAATCAATTGACCCGCACTCATAGAACCAGTCAGTTCATGATATTCCGTAACATTATTCAATTGACCTCATTCTCAGCAAGTTTGAACTTTATCGTTGTTCACGGTTTCCAACAATAACTTCATGCATTCTTCGGAAAACTGGTTACTAGTCAGTACATAGTAATTATTAAGGTGAAGGAATTGAGAAGTTAATCTATCTCAAAGTTGATTCTACTGAGCTTACTACAAGACTTGAAGGTTCAAATTTCGATACTCTATGAGCACTGCTGGCCGGATACCATCAGCAATAGCCTTCTGTGGGAGAGAACAAACCAACTTCCAGCTGAAGAGGAAATTAGGAAAAGACGATGGAAATGGATAGGACATACATTACGCAAATCGTCAAACTGCATCACGAGGCAAGCTCTAACTTGGAATCCTGAAGGGAAGCGGAAAAGAGGAAGGCCAAAGAACACATTACGTCGGATAATAGAAGCAGATATGAAAAAGAAGAATTACAGCTGGAAGGAGCTGGAAAGGATTGCCCAGGACAGGGTTAGATGGAGAATGCTGGTGAGCGACCTATGCTCCTTCACGAGGAGTAACAGGTGTTGAACTGAAACTGAACTGATGAGCACTGCTGTGGAGTCTCGATTTCTGACAAAAACTCTGATCACTGAGATTGTTTTTATCAGTGGTTATCCAGCTGGTATTAGTTTGTGATAAAAACTAAGTTCAACGATACCTTGTTGTTCTCATAAATATTTTTAAAAATCATGCAAACTATATTATGAACTGACTAACTTTCACAACTCTATTTCTCTTGTATTAAAATCTTAACCTATAATGAGGTAGTTGCATGATACGCGCTATCTAAGGAACATAAATTTCCATGCGAAACTACTACTACTAATATGACAGTTCCAACTTTGGCTACAAACAGTAACTAGTAGCTCTACATATCGTCAAATGTACGAACTTTTCTTGTCTCCAGTTACTGTCTTAGTAAAACAATTTACAATTGTCAACAGAATGACACAAAATCTATACATATTTCATAGATTTTCTAATTAGGTTTGTTTTCACTCTATCGTTGTCACACAACAATATATAAATATGTATTCTCCACACAACTTACATAAATAAGCATAAACACTTAAACAGGCGCATGATGGTTATGAAGAAGAGGAAGAAGGGAATGTTGATCGGTAGCCAAAATTAAAAATGGATTTTTTTCTCTTTTTTTAAAGAAAATTAAACGAAGAAACTTTCTTGTCAACTATGATCAACTTCTTTGTATGCTTGTGTTTTATATTCATAGTTTACAGCACGAACTGATCTTAGTTAGATATTCAATGAAGTGTTTCATACTAGTATTTGTTCCTCAGTCAAACTCATCCACGACCTTAGAAGATGGAATCAAACCCGAGACATTCAGGCCTCACGTTTAATGCTTAACTTTTAGACCACTAAGTCGACATCAATGGTTCACATGTTTAATTTCAATCAATTTTCGACAGTCCGTAACCATCTGCTGATCCAATTAATGGATAAATAACTCACTCTCAGTATGATTAGACTTTACTGGTAACAGCTCCTAACTAGCATAAAACATCTGTCCAACGATCCCTTATTTTCAATGGTCGTCTGACTAAAATCTCTCGTTAATGTAAACCATGAAATTCAGCAATCCCTAGACACAAATTTTACTTACTGAAACAACTAAACAAATTAAAGAATAGATTGACTATTTACAATTCTTCATTTCTTTAAATTGTACAACTTCCAGCAATTAACCGTTAAGAAACATTTTGTAGGACAATTTATCGTGACACCTTTCAATAAGAGGTGTCTATGGCCTTACTATGGACTGGGAAACACTATACCGAACTTACAAGGACTATTACCATCATTTCATCAGTAGGCTATCAGTCAGTCCCCTGACTAACTGCCTCCGACTAGACCACAGCTAGATGATATTTAGTTATTGTGATTTGAGAAACTTAAAGAAATCAACTGTACTTAATTAATAACAGCAGTGCCTCAATGTGTCAGTAGGTTCAATTCCCCGTTGATGGATTACAACATGCAGATAACAAAAATATTTCAGGATTTATTTCTGCAAAACAGGCATTTTCTACACTAATGACAACTAACAAATTATTTTGTCGATTTGCTCCAGATACAATAATAATGATGATTTTTATCATAGAGTGTTGCAAAGTTTACTGAATTTCATAGTGAGTTATTCATCCATTAATTGGATTAGAAAATTGTTACGCACAGTCGAGAATCGATGGTAGTTAAAAATGCACTTTATTGGACACTGATCCAATGGTTGGAATGTTATTCGCTGTTCATCAGATCGACCAGAGTTGTAGTCCTGGGTTCGATTTTCAGTGAGGTCGTAGATGTCCAATACTAGGACGCAACAGCTGTCTAGTACCTATTGGTTTACATACGTTCTCTGTTATGTAATAATATAGCTAACGCCTAGTACACGTTTATGTATGAAACTTGAAGTTACACTGATCTATACTAGTACTAGTGATACTTCTCAGTTATTTACTTCAAATTAAGTCTGAGGGAAATTCGAATCAGAAACTCAGTGACTAGAAGTTGACTAGCTCACTATTATTCCTCCATTCTGCAGCATATATAGTAGTAAGATTGTCTTCCTAAAAATATTTCTCCATATTTAATTAGATCAACGATTATCAAGATGATGATGATAGTGTTGAAGTAAATTGAAGTCAGAGATTGTTTTTTCTATATTTTCCGACTATCAGTCAGTCAGCTACAACGTAGGACCAGGCACATATATGCATCGGTCTAAGTTGCCGTACCTCATCACCACAATAAGATGAACACCTAATTCATAGTAGTTAATTCGATGGTGATAATATATAAAAGAAAGATTGCATATAAAGATATAATATAGGAAGAAAGAATTAGTTGGTAGAAAGAAAGATATGAAACGATTTTAATTTCAGTGTTTAAGGGAAGACAGAGAGTGTATACACTGACGCCATTGTGATCGACTATACATATAACGATCATCTGTACATATATATATGTGTATTTAATGACGAAAGGTACCTTCTATTGCTTATAATTTAATAAATTCTTCTCATATAAATGTTAGTCATATAAGAAAATAAAAACGGGGGGGGGAGGGTATTATGGAATAATATTTTGAAAAAAGTCTACTCAAATTCTTCTCCAATTGTCTTCTTTGAAATATGAGACCGTTTAGTTTTCATTAAAATGTAAATACTTTCCTTTTTTAAAAAAAAAAGGAAACATATTTATTTTCATATACAGAACATAGTTGTTTCTTTTTAAAGAATAAGTTCTTATCTGTTGTAGATGAATGAAGAAGAAACTAGTAGGCATTTAAGGTTAAGGTCATAAAATGAAGGACAGATTGATATCCTGTTTCAGATTGATCTTTTTTTTTGTTTTTCTTTTTGTATATAAAGCGAAGTATTAAAAATGCAATCATTTTACTCTTTTTTTCAGTTCTTATTTTATTTTATTATTATGCCATTATAAAAAAAGTCAGAGATTAAACTTGTATAGCTAGATTCAGTGCTGTATGCTTTGATGAAAACAGTGCCAGTAAAATAATGCCTAGTGAATGTTAGTTTTAATAATTTTCAAACTGTCAAATGGTTACAAGTAATCTGTCGACCACAGACAATGACACTAAAATACTCATGAGATAACACACAAAAAAATATTTTAAATGAAATAAACACAGACGACATAGTCGAAAATGACAATGATAACTGCTCAACCAAGTTGAATCTAAATAATATGGCGAATCATAGTCATATTTATAGAGGGCTTATAATTACAATTATAGATTATAGATTTTTGTAAGATTATAGACAATTTTTGGTTAGACAACCTATTTCATTCAACGTCTTCAACCATACTTTACGATAATCGGCATCTATCAACACAGCTCAGTTCAAATGTCAGTAACCTCATATGCTGATCCTATGTCTTGCTTTAGCCACCTTTAACTTTATAATAACTCATTTATATACCACCCAACATTGTACGGCAAGTCATGTAGTGGTTGAGCGTACATGATACATGTCACAGTAACCGTTGTTGATGAGTACTCACTAACTCATCAACCAACTTGTTTTTTTTTCCATTATTACGTTAGAAGTGAATGGAGACTCTATTATGATAACACTAGTTAATATTCCCACTTCATTCCAAACCAACTAGAATTGATCGAATGAGATTGTATCTGTCATAATACCTGACTATTTAAGTTTGATTTCGTAACTGTTTCTTGAATATATACATTTAATAATTTCGAGAACAGTATGTAGCAATCAGCTAACGCTTCTCTTCCATCTACTTCAACGATTTTCTCTCTGACATAAGTCAGTGTTGATAATTGATTTTTAGATAACATATATTTGGTCATTCAAGTATTAGTCATATACCAGACAATCCGATGAACATGAATTATTACTCCCATGATAGGCTTAAATGAAATGTGTAATTATTCAAACATCACTCACCTGCCTGCCAACCTTCCCAACATGTGTACGAAGAAGACTCCATCGTTCCTTAGCTCTTCCATATTTATTCAATCTAATAGTCTGTCCAGACTTTTGCGATAAACTAGGATCGGTCAATTCGTCGTTGAATTTATATTCCATACTTTGATCTAGTTCTTCATTTTCCTCCACCATTGAATTACGATCATCTTCATAATAATGTACCCCCACATCGTTCTCTTCATCATTATCACTAACATTTTGAGATTTGTCATTATACTCCCGATTATCAGAAGGAACATGACCAATATAACTATTGCCGGTGGAATTATGAGAAGCTGTATAGCGTATCGCTGATAAATCATTGTCATCCAGTTTTAAAGTGGATCTTCTAGGCTGAAGAAAGTAATGATCCACATCAATCTCTTGATCATGTTCTGTATGGTTGTCTTCTCTCATTAATTCACTGTCAGGAATTAAATGATTTTCTTTATTTTGGCTGAATTCCTTATCCTCATCTGTCCAGTCATATTTAGTGTATAGATGCTTATTTTGCCTATCTAACAGCTTTGAGCATGAATCAGTTTTAGGGCTAATTGTTAATGATTCTTCTTTGTTCACTGTAGATGAGGATGAATTTTCCACTAATTTACCTTCTATAGCACTTCTCATATCCTGGTGTAATCGATCTAGGGCTTCTGCAACACTATCGATCTGAAATGTCTGAAATGCATTCTCTTTATCTTCTGTATAGACACAACCATCTGGTTCCAGAAATCGGTGAACGGATGGAGACAGAGACTGTTTTCGTTCCTCTTTTTGTTGTCCCGCTTTATCCTCACCAATCATATCTTGGATGCTTTTTCCCATATCGTTTCGACCAGCATCGGTTAAATTATTTGGTATTAACACGTTCCCTGTATGTGTGCTTTCTGTGTTAATATAACTTTTTCCTGTCAATTGGTTATCTCCAGACTCATGGTATATTGATTTCGCACGATTTTTATAGATATTGTCTTTACGTCCAGTGATCTGTGTCATCCTCAACTGTGAAGATGTTTCTCCAGGTGGTGATTCACGTCGAATAGCATTAGTGGTAACAACATCTAAACAACGTGTATCACTAGGTACACTCGGTATTGCAACAGTTGAAACAATCCCTTTCGTTACACCAGGAATATATTCTCTTTGCTCCATAAATTGAGAACTGTTTTTCCTAGAGATATTTGTATTTCTCTCGTCTTCATTCTCCTTAAGACAGAGTAAGCTTTGTTTTCTTGATGATGCAGGTGTCAATCTCACTGTGGTCTCATCGATAGAAAATTCTGGTCTGTCCAAATTTGAAATTGTTCTTAGTAAGTTTGTATTTGACGACAATAGTTCACCCAGAGGGACCAAGTCATCTTCATCACAAGAAATATTACTACTACTGTTATTTGTAACAAGATGATGACATGTGACACTAGTCCGATAGGTTGAATTATCTTTTTGCATATCCGACTGTACATAATTAGTCGACATCGGAATGCTGAATGGTGGTGTGGACGTCACATCTAAATCATTATAATTTGTTGTTACAATTTGTGTTTTATAAGTTGTGTCTGTTGGTGACTCCATTATAACTGATGGTAATGAACGATGCAATGACTCATCTTCATCGCTTGTACTATCAATTAAATCGTCCAAAATATCAGTTTCTCTTATTGGTAGCATGGCAATAGTATCGGCTAATTTCCATTTTGAAGGTGCATTATCAAAAAATCGATGTACTTCTTCATGTGGACACGTACATTTATCAACCGTATGAAAATTACGTTCAAACCATACATCAGCTGGCCACAGGCCAGCTTCACCTCGTACATAATCACATGAACAGTCTAAATGACTTTCTAAATCAAATGTATTTCTTTTATGATTTAATTGAACTGATATTGATTGTGATAGGTTGTCGTCAAGATTATTATGACTATTAATTCCAGCATTAGGTTTATACAATACCATATTTGGATCTAAATGTACACGATCTTCAAATGGGATAGGAATTAATTGACGTGGTTTATTAGGTACTGTTACCTTTTGATTTGTAGAACGTTGAGCTCTTAATGGTAAAGCCGGTGGTACATCAGCTGATTGTTGTTGTGGTTGTGGTTGTTGAGATCCCGACGATTCCATTCTAACAATTGTTCGTACTAAAGCTGATGGATATTGTAAGCGTGTTGTAGTATTTAGATTATTTATTGGTGCTTGTTGAACAGGGAGTTGATTAACACGTCCAGTTAGTTGTAATGTATCATACATAATATTATTATTCACTGTATTCCTATTATGTGGATAAGCAACAGTAGTAGTAGTACTATTAGTAGCGATAGAAGTAGAGAATGTTTTGTTAGTACTCAATACGTACCTTGCTTGATTTACAGGCTTTACTAATCGTTGTTGTCGATAATACAGTTGTTCATCAGAGCAAACTGACGAGGAAGGTGACGATGAAAATAGTACAGATGGATCATAACCTACAGAAGTTTGATAAGACGGATGAAATGTTGTTGTAAATTGTCTGATACTTGTTGTTGGAGATCCCCATGGATACATTTTGTTGATATGTTGAATGTTTTTATCATATCTGTTTATTGTACTACACTCACCGCCATTCATAGCTTGATATCTAAATGTAATTGGATTTGTTTCACGTAATTGGTAATGACGAGGTAGAGTGTGTAACCCACTCGTAATCACAGGGTACTCTTGTTGGCTAGTTCCACACATAATACGTTCCACTTCACTAGCAGGATCCCATTCTGATTGATTAGGCAGTAGCGGGTGATAAACAGGATAGTTAGACATTGCTCTTTTTATTGTTAAGTAATTAATTCCATAAATATTCTGATAGTTAGTTTCATTTTGACAATGTATATGAAAAAAATTAGATTTCTAGCACTTAATAGATAAGCACTAAATACAATAATGTTGCTTGTGTGTATTAAAGGAATTGAAAATCACCTACATGCATGCGCATTTATCACCGTACATGCATCACGGTGATAGATCATAATCCCAACACTAAAGTCTCTTATAGCGAATAACTGAATGGATGATTTCATTTACTGATGTGGAGTAGAATGATGACAACAGTACTCATAATAGTAACGATAATAATAATAATAATAACAATAATAATAAACGACAACTGAAACTAAAACGTATTGTCTTTCGTTTCATATAGGCAAAGATAGGCTACTCTAAAATATGATTGGTAGACTCAACTAACCAATCAGAATGGGATACCAACTGCTATTCGACCTCTCTCTCGAGGTAGATATATATATATATATATAGAGAGAGAGAGAGAGAGAGAGAGATAGAGAGAAAGAGTAAACGAGCGTATGACAAACAGACAGATGAGAGCATCATTAAGCAATCATTAAGTTTATTTTGAGATAAATGAGTCGATCAAATGAAATTAAAATTCTGTTGAAAAATATTTAAAAAAAAGGTTTATCAATCAGCTGTTTAATTATTTTAAAGGAAAAAAAAATTATGCCTAAAGCCAAATACAAATTACATACGATTATCAATTGTAGATATGACAGTAAACACTTTTTTCGAGTAAAAAAATATTGAGAAAAAATTAACTATCCCCTTGATATCATCATACCTGTTTGATCAAAGTGATCATTTAACATTGATTACTAAAAGTACTATCATAGGTGTAGATCATGGAGACTAATGTTTTTCTAGTCTGCTTTATCTTAGGAAGAATACTTCTACCAATATGATTATTCCATATCTCAATCATCGAAAGTAACATCGTCTAGTGTTCAAGTCGATTTCACTTAAAAACTAAGTAAGGCATATGAATTGTTACATATGAACGATATTACACATACATAACAGATTTCCTTCTTTAAAATTATGAACCGATCAATGTTAGACTACCATTGAAAACCTAGAAGCATTGGATGGCCATTTTGTCCTAGTATGTGACTCCTAAGCAATGCATATCCACAATCCTGCACGTGACAGTTGAACCCAGCACCTTCGATCTTGCACATGAGTGCTTAACATCTAGACCACTGAATCAACATTTAACGATGTTAATGTCCAACTTTAATCAGTTTAAAATACTGTGTGACCACCTTCCATTATTTTCGTTTAATAACTGCCTCAAATGCGACTCGTTCGAACTCCACTGGTCACGGCCTCTCACCAAAACTCCGGAAATTTCCTTTCGTGTTTTTAAAGATATAAGACCATTTGATTAGTTTCATAGTTTACATTATTGTAATAACGGGACGAGGACTAGAACAGTTGAACTTCCGGAATCGTATCCTGCTTGAAGTTATTGCTTGTATATTTGTTCTTCAATTATTAATGAAATAAATGAGTGTATGCTTGCATTGTCCTTCTTGTAAACTTGTTAATGATGTATAAACTGTTATTGTATGTTGTACTTTTGTCAAGTTACTGTTAATTTGTTACAAACCTACTGCTCAGTTCTCTTTCATTTATTGCGTAGTTATGCCAATATTGTAGTTTCTTACTCATGTCGATGTATGGCTAAGACTCCACTCCATGTATTAATATATACGAATTTTGTTTCAGTATTGAGCTGAGCCTAGGAGTAGCTAACTTCTGAGTACTCTTTGAACTCAAAGCAAGTAATAGAAAACACCTTGTGGATGGTGGACTAATAAGAGCTTAGCTTTAGTCGGCTCAAAGTGGCCCGTTCAGATCAGAAGTGTAAGTGGTCAGGTCTAGGACGTCAGGCGATAGAAGAAATAGTAGACGCAAAATAGAAAAAACTTGCAGTTAAAATTCTAGTTAGTGAATTGAACATGTGAGATCGATGAACGTCTCAAAACATAATAATACCATTAAATGGTCTGAGTTGAAAAATCACTGAACTGAAGTCAGCTGGTAATGTAAGCTGAGTTTCATCAATTCCCACAAAGCCTTTACACTAATAACAGTAATTATAAGATTATCAGTGACTAATTTGGAGTGACAATTCCCACAGTGCTAGGGAGAATTCATGATCAGTACAGTTCAGTTATGTTAAGGATGAAACAGTTAAACACCGATTCTATTGGAAGAGCATTGACGAACATCCATAAATTGGAGTTAGGAATATATATATATCGACGATAATTATATTCTGCATTAATATGTTAAGTCAATTTAAACCGTAATTCTTTTCTTTACTAATTATTATTAAGACAATGCGGTGTAGATAATTTTCATTTATTTAAGCTGTATAATTGTATTTATAATTATTAAACAGTGTCTTGGTGAATATATTGAGGTTCATGACTCTTGAATAAGACGTTCTAAAATATTAGATAGTGTTAAGTAGACGGTGTTCGTCAGAGATTGACTTCAATTGTGAAACCATTATGAATCAGAGAGCTCTTAGCAGATGTTTCGTCTTAGTACTATACTCCGCAGCAATGATTACTTGGACCCTATCAGGACCCGAATCCGGAACGTTCAGATCTTTTGGCGAATGCTTAACCGATAGGACAACTGCGTCTGTGTTGAATGGTACAGTTCCAACTTTAAATAATTTGTCATACAGAGGCATTAGGAACAACTATTTCACTCCCAACATGTCTGAACGTCATTAACCGCGGAATTTTAAAGTCATTCACTAGTAAGGTAACTATTATGATTTATATGAAAGAATTTTGTCGAAATCGATTTAATTTTGTAATCAGTACTCATTACTCTTTAATCTCAGTTGAAGTGCCACTAAAAAATTGGGAACACTTCACAACTGTATTAGGCTGGTGTAGAATTCTTCATAATTGTTCACGCATGACCAAACCAGCGATCAAACCCGTGACATTTATATTCAACATCAGTCAGTCAGTAACAACGTAGAACGTCGTACGTACGTACATCAGTTCGAGTTCACATACCATATTAGCACAGAGATACAGTTGTCCATTCAAATCTCCTAATACTAGAGGTAGTAAGAGTATAAGCAGTAATCGGAAAGATTAGGGTTTGAAGATTTTATTTAAGGAGTATAATCCAGTGAAATAAATTTGGAACAAGAAAAAAAGGGACACGAAGAATTCAGAAGATTAAAATTTGGGAGAACACAAAGAGTGAATGCACCTGCACTTTAAAATATATTTTTGTGTTGAGTTCATTGACTAGTGTCAAACTGTCTCAGAATGTTTGGATACAGCAATTACCAAAAGACAAATTATGAGATACTAGAGTAGTTTGATATATTTTACAAAAATGTTTCATCATGAAACAAACTGTGCACTGTTATATATCTGAAACTTTTCACTTTTTTTATATTCGTTAGAATAACTGACTCTCTTCAAAGTATATGAGCGAATTTGGCTAATTTGTTGACTAGGTTGTCGTGTAATACCCTCAATACGAATTCATCCAAGAAAATAGCTGAACTCGTAACTATACATCCAACTGGAAAAATAAGATAACATATCTTCTGTCGTTCAACCACAACTGATGAATTTGGAAACTTCAAAACCCTTTGGTATTCCCAAACACTCTACTAAACAATTTTATCGCACCTCTTAACAGCTCATTATGTCCATTAAATAATTAAAGAAACATTTTAAGCAGAAATGTGTAGTAGTTAACAATGGTATCTAGGACGTTTGTTTCGTCCTATTCTTAACTTATCAGCTGAATCTACATATCCCAAAAGAGACTGATCTATCGAAATGTTAAACATCAATAGGTAGTTTCAAGTAACCAATATATAAACAAATTATAGACACAGTTTTATAGTTTTAAGAAGTATGATTGTCAAGAAGAAAATTTTCTTTCCTGAAATGTCATTATGATTATTATTATTATCACAGAATAAAAGCACTAATTAATCACTTCATTTACTTGTAACGAAATGTAAGGATTTATTCAGAGATTATTATGGATAAAACGGTTTAGACATTTTTGCATTCTTCAACTACTGACATTATCCATAGTTAGATTAAGTTTCAAAAAATACAAAATAAATGAATGATAGAATAACTATTAAAAAACTAAAACTGTTAATGAGTCCAATGTAAAACAAAAAAATAAATAAACAATACAAAACAATACTACAGAAACATGAATTTAAAATAAAATCAGTCTTTGACAAGATAGTTTCTAATTACTTTCAATTAATAATCCCTAGAAATTGCTAAAACAAAACATTGAAAACCTGGAGGCACTGGACGGCCGTTTCTTCCTATTGTGGGACTGCTTAGCAGTGCGTATCCACGATCCCGCTCGCAGGATTTTAACTCAGGGCCTTCAGTCACGCGCGCTAACGCTTAACCTACTAAATCACTAAACCGGCATTCAATCGGTTCGCGATCTCAATTAAAAAAACTTGATGATCCCCACAACCCCTAGACTGATAATAACCGTGTGCTCATTGGTGACTAACTCTGCCTGGAGTCCTCCAAGAGGCTACTGCCAGTCCCAAGCCCGGATTAAGGAGGAAGGTTGGACATGGGTTTAGCGACATCATTCCATAGAAAACTAACTCGCTAAAAAACGCTAACCGGAAAAATTATTCCCTAGTGACCAGCTTCGTGAGGGAATTCTCTGAGTTTTAGTGAAAAACCGTAACCAGTAGGGCTAATCCGTCTCAGGTAGAGATAGGTATCTACCTCAGTACAATAGAAGATGGTCGCGCAATTTTATGGATTGGCTGAGATTAAACATTAACGCCATTGGACGCCGGCTCATTTGTCCAGTAGGTTAAGCGCTCGCGCGCGAAACTGAGGGCTCTGGGTCCAAATCCCACGAGAAAGGATCGTGGATGCACACTGCAGAGGAGTCCCACAGTAGTCCGAAGCGGCTGTTCACTGCTTCTGGTTTTTTAAAATGGTGGTCTAACATCAATCGCTTCATGATCTCATTTAAAAACTTGGTGATCACAAGTCCTATATTGTTTTGATTCTTGCATTTCTTGATTTGAACTACTTATGAGTAGACTAATAATATAAACACAAATCTCTGCACTGATTGCATGATAACATGGTGCTTTTATCATCACAGGAATTAACAGTTGATCATAGAAAATTATGGTAATCGAAATGTTCTGATCTAACACGAGTACATGGGAAAATATTTTAATGCCAATGAATTTCAATGTTGTCATTTTTTATGCCATGATACGTGCATTGAATCAATCTGTGTTAATGAACTGTACATCTCAGAAGTCACGTTTTTAGCC